GATAATGTAATTTGTCATTACTCATTATTAACTTATAGAATCGAGAAACAAACATCTAAGGATTATGATTTCTTTATGCAGTCAAAAAAAACTCGAACTAGTATCTGGCACATTGCGTTTGAAACTTTGAAGATAATATACTTGTAGTACCTAATATCATTAAAAAAATATATAGTTATGAGTAATATGACAGACGTAGATTAGTAGAGAGAGAGAGAGATTAAGATGTTAGTTTTTGTTTAATATAGATGTACCTAATATGAGCTAAGCCTGACATATTTAAGTACCGCTTAGCGCCACTTACTGTAAATTACTTTTACTGTGTCTATAACCTTCTCACAAACGCGAGCAATAAATTTAAAAAGTTTTATTCCAATAGAACTGGACAAACAAATTAATATCGATACTTAGGTGATGATATCAGTGTGTTAATCTAGAGCGTGTTATTTTGACTTACTAAGAATCGTATTATTTACAATTTTATGTTGACAAAATACTGAAGTATACTTGTACCAAATATTTATAATACCTATTTTTTTATATGCAATTTAGTTTTTTATTATTATTTATTATGACTTGAAATACTTAGAACATACATAAGTATGTTCTAAGTATTTCAAGTCATTATAAATAAGATTTCTGCATGTTTGTTTTATACTTAACTAGCGGTCAACTTCAAATTCGTATGGATTCATTTATTGAAGAGATTTGAAATTGATTTTTTTATTTATTTTAGCCTCTATGTGCCAAATATTTATTTGTAATTTTATTCATTACAAACAACCTTTCATTTTTTAATGTAAGTGTAGAGTATGTTTATTGTATATGTATATAGAGTAATGTATATTGAGAATAATAAGTAGAGATAAATAATTTATAAAATGTAGCCTTAACATTACCATTGCCAGCTCATCGCTTTGACGCAAGTCGCGTGTTGACTCGATGTGCCATCATCTGAGCACACACGGGATGATATCACCACTCAAACTGTTACTGGAGATTGCACAGGTGTCTATATTGTTCTATTTTGTTGTCTATTCAATGAACGTGTGTTTTGATTGTGCGGGAAGGTCGCTAGCGGGGACCCATAACTGACTAAGATGTATTATTAGGTGCTATATATTATACTACAAAATATATTTTTATTCTTTAAAAATATGTACTAATATGTGAAAAAAATTTAGAGGTGATTAAAAATTGATTAAATACTATTTGGCCACTACAGACTAAGAAGTTAGGAAAATATTGCATTTACAGAAACATTATTAAAATGTGAATGATATATATTCATATTTATTAGGTTATTATGAACTTTTAAAATAAGTGTGTGTAGATGACAAATAGAATAATACTGATTGTAAACTAGTCACACATATATATCTTGTAGAAGATTATAAACTGCAAGTTCCATAATAACATAATAAAAGATTTCATACTCTAAAGTACTGGTTATCATATTATTTTTTCCATTAAGTGATTACATTTGTTGTAAGCAGGTAATTGCTCCCAGTCTATAAATGATAAGCCGCGTGAAATGCTTTTAAATGTTGCTCTAATTGCTTTTATACGACCGACACCCTAACAGTAATTTAATTGTAATCGAAAACTAATTAACTCAGCGGCGCAGCGCAATCTTCAATTAGCCATAGATCATAATTACTACAGGTCTAATAATATGTTCCGTAACCAGTTTCAATGACCCTTCTTCTATTGAAGTCTATAAACCCTTGCACATGGCATATACTTTTGAAACATTTCTTCGCTACTATTTATTGTAAATGCACGTGTCCAAGAAATTAGAAGCGGCTGATAATAAAAAAATTAACCCAAATTTTGCAAGAGTTGCGGAATTTAAAAGTAAGGGTTGCAAAAAATCCTTTCTAACCCAAACGTCCGAGTTGCATTGAACACGTGCATGACAATGCGCCGATGAGTCACGAACGAGCCGTCGCGATACCGGAGCGAACTGAGTATTATTAAATTCGAGAAAGAAAAAAAAGATAAGCGTTCACTCGTCGTACAACGTCAAGGAATTGAACATCTGCCAAAATTTCTCACGGCTCGGTCGCAGCGCCGCGTATGGTATTATTATGCCGGACCACTTTGCTATCTCTACACAGTACCCACGCATTATAGATGTTGGAATCGTATGTTCTGGTAATTATTACGAGACGGCTAGCGGTATCGGGTGCTTTTTAATGAATAGCTTGGTGATTTGCATATCAGGTTAGCGGCGCTTGGCGCGACGTAAGCCATAAGTGTCAATACGGCTCGAAACGTGTGCTTAATTAGAATGCAGATTATATTGAAACCGATATTGGCATGATTGGTGATGCAAGCGTAACTGTATATTGTAATCCTGAAAACTGGTGGCAGTGAACAGGAATGTTTTCAGTAGAGAAATTATAGTACTAACAAATTTAATAACTTTTTCTCCTTGATAGTATTTGTAAAGTACTAAAACTACTAATACAACAACTGCTGCTGAATTATGAAAATGTCCTGGATCAGGTTTTTGCCAGTAAATATTTCGTGAAACAAATCCATGCATTCCGCTACCAGAAAGATACGAAAACGTATTGGACCAATGGGCAATTTATTTATTTAGTTTTATAGCTTATTAGTTATAGATACTAATAATTTATTCACCATTGATATAGTAAAGTCATCAATATTTTTTAAAATGTTAGAGAATCCTTTGACAAAGTAGTGTTAAAATTAATATTGTATATTAATTTTATTATATATATATATATTTGTATATGTTATCAATATTGTATTTTACTATAACTGTAGATTTCATGTAGTAATTTCAATATATAGGTATAGTCAATAACACCTATATTGCAATTTTGTGTAAATGACTGCTAATTGTGTAGCTAGTTGTGTTTTTATAGAAGCATCGAGTACTAGTACAAGTTGTTTATATAATTATTTTATTGTCTCTTTATAACTTGTATAAAGTACCTTAGCATGGTGTATAATTTTGTTATTCTGTTGTTCCATATTATTATAATTGAAACCCACCTCGAAAAGGACATGAAAGTTATATAGATTTAAAATATATAATGTGAGAGTCATTTATGACTTCATCTATACTATTATAGAAATTGTAAACTTCATTAGCTGACCTAATATGAAATAAGGGTTATTTTTTTAACAAATGTCTGTTTTGACGTAGAAATAATTTTATATGAACTTCTTTTGAAAAAATTGAAAACTTTTCTAGGCATGAAATACAATAACACAGTTGAACTTGTTAATAATAGAAATAGTTCAAAGGTGAAGTAAGATAAGTTTTCGTAGTAAATTGTAATTACAATGCCTAATTAAAAGTACAGTTTAATTAATATGAAAATTAAATGAAACCTAAATTTAATATGAATTCTGTTTTTGTAAGTAGAGAAAGTGCACGTGTATCATATTTGAATGGGCACAGGTTAAATACTCAATTGTGATGCATCTTTTGTTAGACATAATACATTTATTTTACTGAATTTGTGCAACAGAGTAAGATTTTTTATACAGGAATAGTAGAAACGTGTCTCGACTTGTTCGTGAATTTATTTTCAGCAACACGTTGGAACTTGTTCCGAAGGCTTTGATGCACTTTTGTAATTGCATATAATGCATGCAGTTTTTATGGCTTGCGCAAATAGATAATTATAGATCGTGTAAATAGAATCACTTTTATGTTTGACACTTTTTACTGTTTTTATTATTGTATAATGTGTGTAGTTATTTCTTTTTTTTTAATTTTGACTGTATGATTGCCATAACCTAATGAGTAGTGAGGCTTTTAACCTAAAAACTTTTTACAGTTTTTCCTAGTTTAAGGTATGGACAGAGAGAATTTATGATAATCGTTTCATATTCTTATTGACGCATGATTTTGTATTGAAGTTATAGCATATATAAAGTGATTTATTTAGTAGACATGTAATTAAAATCTCAGTGTGTTAGATTTATTAAAAAAAGTAGTACAGAGTAGTTTAATTTGACTATAAAATAGTGTTAATACAAGGGTGGTTTTTAATGTTGATGTAGATTAATAGTAAATAAAAATAAGTTTTATAATTTTATGTTACCTGTGTAGTCTTAGGTCAATATCAAAATTAGCATTGTACTTATAAGAATGTAACATCACTACACTAATATTACATTCTAGCCTATACGCCTCCTAAATCACTTGATGATGGGAAATTAGGGTGCATGATGTCCAATAAGCACATAATCGTAAAATTAGAAAGACAGAAATAAATAAAACGGAAGAATGTAGTATATATAGTCAATTGCAAGATAAATTTATACTATTAGCTATATTTTCTTTGTGTTGGCAATATATTTTATTTTATTAATCAAAGGGTCATTCATGAAAGAATATCATTTACATTCTTAATGAATAAAAGAAAATGAGAGTAATGTTACTGTAATGTTGTTACTATCGACAAAAACATAAATAAATCTGATAGTGTCTACATACATTCCGTAAAGAAAGTAATTTACATATAACAGAATGATTTAATAATTATGAAATGAATAATAATAATAATAAGAGGCATCAAAAAGAGCGGCAATTTAAAAAAGCATCCATTAAAAACCCAGTAGCAAGGTCCGCCTCGAGGTCTACACGTGCGCACGCGCGCAAGTAAAATGTTGCTCGGCCAGTATGGCGGGCAGAAAAGCAACGCGACCGGACTCGGCGCCTACAACCACTTTTCTTATAAGTATAGTGGCTCGCGCCGTGAACGTCGTTGACTTGACATCTCGTCTAACCAGTTTCTGAATATCAGAATAAAGCCTCCAATATCTATAGCCTTGCAACAACCTCATCAAATTGACGTTGTATGGCTGTGATTCTCTTATTATTATAGCCTGTTGCGATTTTCTGATTAAATAAAATATGTATATATCAGAATAACTAGTAAAACAAAAAAATAAGTTCAATCATTATTTTATTTTCAATTTTTCTCATTGACTAAAACCAGTCAATTTATAGTATAAATAAATTACTAATCCTAAAAAAATTAAAGCTCGTACAAGGAAGATCACATTAAGCTCAATACACTAATCGATATTAATTTATACAATACAACAATATTAAAAAAATATCACAACATATTCGAAATACAATTAAAGCTTTCGAGGAGTTATCACGAATGTTGAGCTAAGTTAATTCTAATTTAACCCTATATGGCACCTTGAATATTCTAAATTAAAGCTAACATCACAGACGATTGCAGAAACCAACGAAGCGAGCACTGGTTTCTTTCGAGGAAGACACTGATTTTTGTCGACATTTGTTTGATTTAGGCTTGAACCCAGCGGTCTTGCATGATTGGATATTGCTGCTCTGGGGTTTGGCACTCGGTGTAGCAGTGTGCTTCGGCGAAGTCAGCTTCGTGTTTCGAAACTGTCGTCCAGAAGAAAGTGCCGGCTTCTGTTCTCGCGAAATGGACTGGCACGTAGAAGTTTTCAGGGGTCACTGGCACAATATCGCATGTGGAATCTTCATTGTATACGAGGAATGCAGCACCGGATTGGCATGCTTCTACTTCAGCATAAATTTTGCGCTCCAGCCTCTCGTTGTTCAGGTTCTGCTCGTCCTCGTAGCACGTGTCGCAGGTTTTGGCGGGAACCCGTTTTGTTGTTTTCTTGATGATCTTCATCAAAGGCTTTAGGAGAGCTTTGAAGCCACTGTTCTTCATCTTCTCACTGTTGTATTTGTTTTCATTCATCGAATTGTTTGTGGCGATGATATATTCGTTGTTAGCGTAGTAAGACATTTTGGAAATAAAAGGTTGCTTATGGAGTACGTGTGTCGCTAGTGAGATCACAGGCGGGTGTGGGGCTGCTATGGCCGACTGGGGCATTTATACCCGGCGCGCCGCCCCCGACACAAAAGCACCTTGTATGTGAAAAGCTCCCTTCGTTTGTGTGGGTGTATCAAGTGGTTTATTCGAAATCCACGTTATGATTTTACAGTTTCGAAGTTTATGTCATACCTAAGTAGTTTTAGGTTTTTCATTGGTTATGGAATTTTATTTCAATTCAGTAAAAGATCAAATTACTTATTCAGAATAAATACAGAGTTAGAAATGCAATTGAAAATGAAATTTGAAACAATTACTTGAATCAAGTCTTAGCAAATAGAAGGTGAGGCTTTGCTAAATTAACATCGTATACCTAATGGGAAATTAATGAGAATACTATTTAAAAGTCATTTATAATCAAGTATTAAAATAAATTAAATATTCATGAAATATCTACGTTAAATCAAATATGGTGAACATTTATATCGCTATCATTGTAGTCCAATAGTTTGCTATAATTTTACTAATACTTTTTTTTTATTAAATTTATAGATTAATTTTCATGAGAAAACGGCTCACGTGCCGTACACACGCCCATCTGTGGGCAAACAACACATGTCGTTCATTAGCCCTTTGCTGCACTCGAATAATGTGATTGTTATCGTCCCGCCGGGGTCACTAAGTCATGGGGTGACTCGACCCTCCCCATGACCCGTCACCGGCCACGCGTTTGACGTGTGACTGCTTCACCTGATTTAGTGTAAAGTGTTCCTAATAGATAAGGCAATTTACAGTACAATGCGTTACCTTATAATAGTGTCCACTAATTGATATTTTATAGGTATTTTTCCTACATGGAAAATATACGGTATTAACTACTAGGAAATATTCGTCTATTATCAAAATCCTGTTATTGTTGTGCCATGTCTAGATTGTGTTAATAACTCTGTAGAGTTAGTTATACTGTGGTATTTAAATTATTCGTGTGGGTGTTCATTAGCATTTTGTTTACAAAAAGAACTATCAAATTTAAAATGCCACCTACACACAGAATATTCGACTCATACCGGTCCAAACATGTAAGATTTTTTCTTCATGTGTCCGAAGAGAGTATTACAAAAAAATAAACTTTAAAAGAAATCAGTGTAGCGGTGATAGTGGTTGCTCAGCCAATGGGGTGCGCGCGCGCAGGCAGGTGTCGCGATCCGAAGGCTCTCGCACACATAACATGCCAGTATAAATATACGACCGCTGAACACGTGCATTCGAAGGGGATGAATATAGATAGAGTACAGTATAAAGAGCGGGATAGCTGATATTTTTTATTGATATGAATAGATTCACGACTCCCTCATATCCGAAATGGGGTAACGCAAAGGCTAATTTGGTTATTGAAAATTGAGGGGTTGTTCGTGGGAATGCTCTTCGCTGCTAGGTTCCCAGGGTTGCTCGCACATTGAGTTTTTTTACGCGACGCGAGATTCGGAACAGCGACAGATGGCAAGCGGTAGATCGTTCCCGTTTCGCTTTGTTATAATAAATCGTATGGGGTTTTGGAATTAAACATTCCATTTTGATGGCTCATCGCATTTGAGGGTGGTGAGGGGATGAAGATGTAAACAAGTGTAAAAGGGGTCAGTGGAACTCGGCCGACTATATAATTAAATGTCTATTAGAATCGTTTTAAGATTATTAGGAGAGATTGTTAGGGGTTGAATTTAGATTTTTTGTAATTACAGCAATCAAAGTATTGCGTGGGATGATTTTTAGAAAGTAGCTTCGAATCGTAAATCAAGTTGAAGGGTGGTTTATTTAAATGACTGCCTAAATAATTAAGTATGAGGATAAAACGTTCAAAGGTGATTTACCTTACTGGACTGGACTGAAATACTACGACTGAAATATGATACAAAGAGTCCTTACTCAAAAGGTAATTGAGCAATAATACTGTTTCCTTTCGTATTGCAAATAATATCATAAACTATTCTACTCCTAAATGCATGTAACTAAAAAAATATTTTTTTACTAACGTATTTCTATGTCCTATTAATCACTTGTTAAATTATAGTGAAAAGAACTACTAAACCTTGGAACTAAAACATTTTTTCAGTTTCGTTTATCATCAGGAGTCTTCCCACGACTTGGAGATGCAAAAACCACCTGTGACAATGGACAGCCAAAAGAATGGGATGCAACATTTTGCGTCATATTTAAAAAGCGAAAAAGTGAAGTATTGTTACCCCATGGCGTGACAAGTGTGGGATTGCCGAGGTTTGTGGGGTGATATCGCACCCCACTATTGTGTTACTTATGACTGCACTTGTCTCGTTTACCTTCCGAGGGGAGCGTGGGTCAAATTATTTTTTGTATTGGTAATTTATTTGTATTAGAGATTGCATTTATGTATCTCAATTTTTATATTTTACACTTGTTATTTGTTGATGTTTTTAATGATATTTGTAAAGTAAATTATATTATGAAATTGTCGATAAATCGATATCATACTTTATAGTGTAATAGCAGATAACTCGATTCGATGAATGTGATTTTATTATGTAGAGTTTGATGTCGTCATTATACCTAGTAATTAGGAAATTATATTTACCAAGTGCCTTAGTTTAGTGACGTTTTGAAATAATAATTCTAACGAAACCTGTGATAATAAATATATATGAAATTTTTATCTAAGAATTAGATAGTAATGTTGATAATATTCTGATTTAATTATTTAAAGTATGATGTTGTACTTATTTCACTTTAGAAATATCTATTAACTTACATTGATAAGATATGCAAAATTATTTCATCATTTGTATTTTATGTACAATATATGTGCCTACTATTTATTGAAAAATATATTATTATGATATATCTAGTAGTAGTTGTATGTAGATTAAAGTTAGTTAGCGAGGTGAAGACCCCCAATGTATTGTATCAATCAGCAAAATTTCAAAAGTAATTCTTTATTGACTTGCATTTTGGGACTAGATGAAACAAAAATACGTTGGGATCTGAACTTCTTTAAAATTAGGAATTTTTAGACGCAGATATAAAATCTGTAGTGTTATAATACTACAGTTAAGTATTATACTTATTGTTTCATAAATAAAATCGTTTGCACAGTAAGATATAACATATTACATATAAGGTTACCATTAAAATTGTAATATTAATGATTATAACCAATTTTATGTCAGATTTTGTTCTATAAATTGTTGTCAGTTGAAAACTTATCGATATTTTGTTACATTTTACATTATATATTCTGATTACTTATTGTAATCAGAATATATAATGTTATAAAGGAACCATGTAAAAATAAGTAAACACTTCTACTACTGCAGAATAATTTGCAAATATTATAATGTAAACCACGTACATAATAGTTCTTATTCAACTATATAATAAGACCTAGATTTTAAAAGTAGATCTAAATATAGATTTGAATTATATGTCCATGTTGAATTATATGCCCAAGAGTACGAAATAAATAATTTATCATGTTCATTTTTATTGTTTTTACTTTTCTAGTGTACATATAAATTATTCCTTCTCTACATTATGTGTAAACCACAGACCTCTGCAACCTTTGTGATTAGAGTGTGGGAATTTCAGTTACAAGATGAGCAAAATGATATTAGAGGGTGGAAAATAAAAGACCGTATATAAATCACCCCTAATCGTCTCTTTTGTTGCACTTGTTGCATCACCCCAATATAAAACCCTCAAATTTCAACAATATCGTGATATTTTTTAATTGAAACCATTTTTGACCTTATTGCTTTATAGATAAGGGATATAATGTTTGCATTACTGGTTTTATAATGGTAATAAATATATTTTAGTTTGTTATGAATACGTGGGTGAATAGGGGTTGTGAACAATTAACCGAGTCGCAGGTAAACTAATTTGGGACGGTGAAAAAAGTCAGGTGATTTTACATTTTATAAATGCCATATTAAAAATTGTATATGTGCATTAAAATATTTTTTAATATACTATATTATAATAATAATAATAATTTATTTATTTGTTTGCCACATGGTACAGCTTCGGATAATACTAACTAATAAAAGTTCATCACATGCAGCATCCCGTAGGGGTACGCAAATATTAAAATGAAATTATAATAAATCTAATATAAAATTATGTCATTACATTTATAAATGTCACTGTCCTACAAATATCCATAAATACATTTAAATATTTATATTAATTAATGTCAACTTATTAATACCAATTTATATAATGTCATCAATTTTACATATAAAATAATTATCACTGAGTAAAAACATTTATTTATCAGCCGTTTCATTAATTTGTCTTTGAACCAGAAAAATATTTGTAATTGTAGTAGGTAATTTGTTATATATATTTATGCAGCAGGTATAACTGTTACTGTGGTATACCTAAATATGTTCTCATTTTAGGTAACACAAGTTTTACAGGATCTCTCACAGAAAATTTATAGAAGTTACTCTTCCTTATAAACAAATATACATATGATATTCTGATTTCTTTCAATTTGATTTCTTATTGGAAAAAGTTGTTCCATTAATACCTGTAGATCGTAAGAATAAATATTATATGCGAAGAAACAATATTGTTTTATTGTCGCCGCAACTATATAATTATTATTCTTAGAATAGTCTTAAAATAAGACTAATAATAATTGTATGGATTTTTTTTTAAATAACATTAAATAATTTTGGATTCGACATATTGACGTCGAATTTCACACTACCAACTTTTCTAAGTTAAGTTCTACGAAAAATGTATTGTGGTATATTAACCCTGCTTTCATGATTTGTTAATATATAAGTTAAGTAGGCGTTTAACATTCTACGTTAACCAATGTAAATTATGTATTAAAGATGCTTGATATTTGTAACTCTTTAACTCATAAAATATCTCGTTATTTTTGTATCTTTTTTACTTTACGAATCATCATTATAATCAGAGATTGAAGGCTCGGTTGCATAAAGCGATTTTTTACCGTCATTAAAACATCCAAACTACTACGGTCCT